ATTAAACCTGAGATTTTGACAAATATAAAATAGTGTCACTCATCTGACTAAATAAATTACTTGTGGTGGGGATATATAGTTTTCATGAAGATATTGTAGGGGAGCCAGAGATCACTTCCAATTCCCCTTTAGCTCTTATGTGGGCTCTTTTGGCTGAATCTAGAAACCAGATCAATACCAGGAAGACTACAAAAGAAAAGCATACCATTTTATTAGGTTTATATGTACATGGAGATCTACCCGAGAGAAATCAGAAGAACTGACCAAAACAAATGCTTTTTTACTTTTTAGACAAAGAACAATAAATTTGAGAAGAAATGATAGGCCAAAGGGGATCTGGCAATGGGCAGCAAACTTTTAGGGGAGTCACTAGGAGACATGGGGGGTGTAAAACTGGTGGAAGGTAAGTGTTACTTTGGTCAATATATTTAATCAGGTCTGTTGCAACCCCGAATTCTCAGTCAGTGGTGATAAGGGCTATAGTTTCACCTTGGTACAGGGAGGGTACCCCTCCCAGAGGAGCCTCCTTGACTTGCTGCATGGAAGAAGAGACGAGTCAGCTACCCATTTCTGCAACTACAATTTCTCAGGTGTTGTCAATTCATATCAATGGTTGGGCATATTTCAAAATGACATCTTTCATGACTTCAATATATTATGTTAATATGTGAAATGTTTGGTTTTAGATAAATAAATATTTAAACATTCACTTTTAATTTTATTTTCAAGTATGGTAAGTATCAGAAATACAACTGACTTAAGGAAAAACTCTTTGGGACTTAGAGTACGAAGGGGTTCTGAGTTGAAGAAATGTTGTATCATAGCTTTCCCTCACCGCCCCCACCCCCATTATACTATTTCCTCTGTTAATCACTTGCCAAGCAGGCTGTGAGGATGCCACTTGGTTCAGTACAGTCTACATGTTTAATGTATATATTTTGAGACTATATTATTACATATCTGATAAGTGCTAAGTAGTTAAATACATAATGGGAAGTAAGCCAAATTTTATTTTTTTTCCGTATTCTTTTTCTGTTCTGTTAACTAAGCATATTAAAGGTTAATTTTAAAAATGGGGGCTGGGCATGGTGGCTCACGCCTGTAATCCCAACATTTCAGGAGGCTGAGGTGGGCGGATCACCTGATGTCAGGAGTTTGACACTAGCCTGGCAAACATGGTGAAACCCTGTCTCTACAAAAAACACAAAAATGAGCCGGGTGTGGTGGCAGGCACCTGTAATCCCAGCTACTAGGGAGGCCGAAGCAGGAGAATCACTTGAACTCAGGAGGCAGAGATTGCAGTGAGTTGCGATCGTGCCACTGCATTCCAGCCTGGGCGACAGAGCAAGACTCCATCTCAAAAAAAAATAAAATAAAAATGTGTATGTCTTCACCATGTATTTTGTACTACAGTCTGTGTAAGGGAGAAAAACAAAGAAAAGGTCAATAAAAAATCATGTTCAGAATGTTCTAGTTCTCCTAATCCTCACTAATAAAATATTAGGCCCCCCCCCCCACAGGTGAAAAGATTATTCTTCATTTTTGGTCTGCAGTCCAATGCTCCACTCCCTCCTGTCTTCATTTTTAATGAAGAGGACGTGATGGCTCACATCTGTAATCCCAGCACTTTGGGAGGCTGAGGTGGGTGGATCACAAGGTCAGGAGTTTGATACCAGCCTGGCAAATATGATGAAACTCCATCTCTCCTAAAAATACAAAAATTAGTTGGGTGTGGCGGCGGGCGCCGGTAGTCCCAGCCACTCAGGAGGCTGAGGCAGAAGAATCACTTGAGCCCAGGAGGTGGAGGTTGCAATGAGCTGAGATCACGCCACTGCAGTCTAGCCTGGACGACAGAGCGAGACTCTGTCTTAAAAATAAATAACCTTTCGAGCCTCCACCCTGGCCGCTGCGCGTTAGAGAGGCCAAGACGGCCGATGAGATTGCCAAGGCTCAGCCTGGTGGCGACACAATCTTCGGGAAGATCATGCGCAAGGAAATACCAGACAAAATCATTTTTGAGGATGACTGGTGCCTGCTTTCCACAATGTTTCCCCTCAAGCACCAACACATTTTCTGGTGATACCCCAGAAACATATATCCCAGATTTCTGCAGCAGAAGATGATGATGAAAGTCTTGGACACTTAATGATTGTTGGCAAGAAATGTGCTGCTGATCTGGGCCTCAGGGGTTATCGAATGGTGGTGAATGAAGGTTCAGTTGGTGGACAGTCTATCACATTCATCTCCGTGTTCTTGGAGGTCGGCAGATGCATTGGCTTGGTTAAGCACGTTTTGGGGATAATTTTCCCTTCTCGAGGCAATAATGAAGTTAGGCAAGTTGCAGTGTGTTAAGTAACACACTTATTTTTGCCTGTGTATGGAGCGATTCAAGAAATAACTTTAAAACAGCATACATAATAAAAGACATTGTTGCATGGCTAAATAAATAAAAAAGAGAGTTTTTAAGGAAAACTGGACAATTCATTTTCTCGTTGCCTTTTTTTTTTTTTTTTTAGACAGAGTTAAGCTCTTGTTGTCCAGGCTGGAGTGCAATGCTGCCATCCTGGCTCACTGCAGTCTCTGCCTCCCGGGTTCAGGTGATTCTCCTGCTTCAGCCTCCCAAGTAGCTGGAACTGCAGACGCACACCACCACTCCCGGCTAATTTTTTTTTTTTTTTTTAAGTGGAGACGAGGTTTCACCACCTTGGCCGGGTTGATCTTGAACTCCTGACCTCAGGTGATCCACCCACCTCGGCCTCCTAAAGTGCTGGGATTACAGGCGTGAGCCACCGCACCCGGCCTCTCATAGCCTTTCTGAAGTGTCAGAAAGTAGGACTTTATTAAGTGTTCAATTGACATGCATTAGCTTTAGTTCCCATTTTTGATAGTTATATGTATTTTTAGATTTGTGATTATCAGGAACACTTTGTAAAATCAGAGTCTAAAGTACCTCTATACTTACTGTATAGGAGTTTGGACTGTAATTTTGTTACTTTGTACGTGATGATTATATGTAGGTTTCTTCATGTTTATCGCAATTAACATGGCTGTGACTTATTCCAATACAGAGTTGTTTGCTCAACTTGCATGCAATGTTTATAAAATTGTTCCTTTGGGAAAAAGTATGATTTGCTTTTTGCTATTGTTCCTAGGACTTCTTTGTAGGAAATAGAGAAATGTTTGTGTTTTGGTTTTCTCCAGGGCAAATAGTAGTTGTGTAGTACTTGGTTATTGTTACAGGTTGAGTATCCCTTATCTGAAGTTCTTGGGACCAGAAATGTTTCTCATTTTAGGTTTTGGAATATTTGCGTATACATAATGAGATTGGGAATGGAACCCAAGTCTAAACACAACTGATCTGTATTTCACATACACCAAGTTTGTGCATGAAACGAAGTTTTTACAGCATTTTTGATTATATGAGATCAGATGTGGAATTTTCCACTCTTAGAGTCATGTCAGTTCTCAAAAGATTTCAGATTTTAGAACATTTTTTATTTCGGGTTTTTGGATCAGAATGTTCAATCTGTATTTACAGATATGGCTCGTGAGCCTCAGTAATGATCATTATAATTTAGTGTTACAATTTAATGGAGGTGACTAAGAGTTTTAGGGTATAACAGTTCAGACTTTTGGACTTGGATTTCAGATCTGCTTTCTCCTGTATGACTTTGGGCAAGTTGCTTTTTCTCTCAGGGTTTATTTCTCTCATGAGGGGTATGTGTCCCTCATGATTATTGTAAGGATTAAATGTTTGTTATATTTGAAGATTTGATAATAACCTACGAGAGAGTTAATGACAGCTATCATTTTTAACCTTTGCACTAAAAGATTCAACTGGTTATTGCTTTTTAAAATTAATTTCCCAGACTAGGCACTATGTTAACTTTAATATGACTCCCTTCAATCTGATCCTTTCCTCCTAAAATATGTAAGGGTAAATGGTGGTTTTATTGGGAAAAGGGAAAGTAATATTGGAATTCACCCCTTGGAGAGAAGAGATCTTGGTGTAATACTTTATTGACCTGTTTTGAACAGACAGATGATACCAGTCACACTAGTCTTCTAGAACTTCCATAACAAAATGCTATAGATTCGGCGACTTAAATTTATTTTTCACAATTCTGGAGCTTAGAAGTCCAGGATCAACTTGGCATGTGTTTTCTTCTTAGGATTCTTGGCTTGTAAAGTGATCTCTTGCCTGCCTTGTCTTCAAATGGCCTTTCCTTCTTTTGCATCCCTGGTGTATCTCCCTTTTCTTAAAAGGACAGCAATCATATTGGACTCAAGAGCTCATCCTATAGGCCTCATTTTAACGTAATCCTTTTGAGGGTCCAATCTCCAAATACAGTCACAAAGAATAGGGCCCACATGACCTCAATTAAACCTTAATTACCGTTTTAGAGGCCTTATCTCCAAATACAGTTACATTTTGAGGTATGGTGATTGGGACTTATGAATGATGGGGAGGAGTACACAGTTCAGCCCCTACACCACGTAAACATAAGAGCTAATGTTTATGGGATGCTGGCTATGTGCCAATTGCTGAACTAAATGCTTTGCATATATAATCTGATTTTATATGCATATTAACTTTGTGATTATTAGTATCTGTTTTACAGAGGAGGAAATCAAGGCTTAGAGAAATTAATAACATGAAGAGCTGGGATTGAAATCTTTTGGGCTATGGTGTTCATGCTGTCTCAAGCAAAACCTAAGTGCTACAAAAGCACAAGAGAAAAGGATTAGAATATGAAACACAAACCTATGTTTATTTTGCAATTTCCAGTGAAGTCTTGTTAGTAAACAACCTGTGAAATAGAAAATTTAACACCAGCCCTGGTTGGCGATTAAGTTTTTTCTTTAAAAGGTGGTGGGAATTTTGGTTTTTAGATTGGAAACAATGAATGAAATTTGAGATTTTAGCACATGATTGTAATTAACAACAGATTTGTTTTCCAGTTGCTCAAAACGTTTTTCTCCTTTTTATTCTCTTGCAGAAGATTCTAGTGTTCCAGAAACTCCAGATAATGAGAGAAAAGCAAGTATATCATATTTCAAAAATCAAAGAGGAATACAGTATATTGATTTGTCTTCTGATAGTGAAGATGTCATTTCCCCAAATTGCTCCAATACAGTTCAAGAGAAAGCATTCAGCAAAGATACAGTGATTATTGTGTAAGCCGATTAATAGATTTATTATATTTGCATGTGTACGAGATTTTCCAAGGAAAACCCTACCTAATTTGAGATATTTTGGTGACTTCCCTTTTTTTTTTTTTTTTTGCCCTACCTGCCTTTCTTGGCCACATCTTGGTTATTTTCTCTAACTTATAGACATGGAGAGGTACAATGTGTGTGTTTTCTGGATAACAGTGATTTTTTTGGCGGGGGGGTGGAGGAGTTGCGGTTAACAGTGATTTTGAGAGCAGATACTTAATTTCCTTATTATAGAAGTTTAAAAGAATAATTAGTACCTTTGATCACATATAACTGCTTTATGATTTATTCTTCAGTCCATGAATCAAATCATTTTAACATGTTTATTGGAAACACTCTGAGCTAGACACTGTTTTATGATTAGGAATATAACAGTGAACAAACCATCCCCAGCTTCCTTTCTGCCCTCACACAGCTTATATTCTAGTCAGATAGAAAAGTAATAAATAAAAGATATAGTATGTCAAAAGGTAAGTATTATGGGCAAAGGGAAGAGGAATAGGGAGCTAGGGTCAGGGAATGGTTTCTTTTTTTTTCTTTTTTTCTAGACATGGGGTCTTGCTGTGTTGACCAGGCTGCTCTCGGACTCCTGGCCTCAAGCACTCATGCCATCTCGGCCTCCTAAAGTGCTGGGATTACAGGCGTTAGACACTACACCTGGCTCGAGGGTCAGGGAATGGTTTCTAAAGAGCGTGGTCAGAAAAGCCTCAATTGAGAAGACAGTGCTTGATTAAGAAGACAGTGCCAGAACAAAGACATAAAGGGGGTGAGAAAGTGAACCGTGTAGATGTAGGGGAAAGAGTATTCCAGGCATTGGGAATACCATGTTCAGTGACTGTATTATGCCTGGTGTTTTGAGGGAGGGACATGATGCAGAGTGAAGGATCTGAAGTCATATCGTAAATGATGAGATGAAGGATGGGCTTCATCACATTAGTTCCATAGGCTGTTTGGCTTTTATTCTGACTGAGATGGGAATTCCTGGGAGAATATTGAACAGAGAGGTAAAATTATCTGAGTTAGATGTTTAAAAGGTCTTAATGACTGTAAGGGAGCGGTAGTAAAAGCATAAATATTGTTGTGATAAGCCATCAAAAAATGATGGAGACTTCGATGAGGCTAGTGCCTGTGGGAGGGATAATAAGTGGTTAGATTCTGGAATATACTTTGAAGGTGAAGCAAGAGAGGATTTGTTGCTGGGGATCATGTGGATTGGGAGATAAAGGAGTCAAGGATCATCCTAAGATTTTTGGACTGAGCGTACTGGAAGGATGGAGTTACTAGGTACTGAGATAAAGGTGGCTTTCTGGTGTGGGTGGGCAAACACCTTTTGAAGGAAAGTTAGCAATTCATTCTTGAACATGCTGTGATTGGGAACACTCCTAGACATCTGAATAGAAATGTCAAGTAGGTATAATTAGGTTTGGGACATTTGAGTTCTGGGGAGAGATTACATGTGTGAATTTACTAGTTGACAGTATTGGTTTGCTATTTAAAGCCATATGATTAGATGAAATCAGTGTAAGGGACACTAGTACAGTATAGCTGAAGAAGGGAAGTCTGAGGCTAGGGGAACTCTGGATTTTTAGGGTCAGGGACATGAGAAGAAACTTGTAGAAGGTTCTAAGAAGGAGCAGCCATTGAGGTAAAAGGCTACACGGTCTTGTAGAAGTTAAGTGAAGATAAAGTGTTGTAAGAGCAAGAGATCAGGACTGTCTACTTCTGATAAGTTGAGGACTTCATCTTAAAATGAACTTTTCACATGAAGCTATGATAAACATGCCTCATTCTGAAATTTACTCCAAGATAAAATGTGGGAAAGATCCTGTATGGTTAACCCTGAGGAAATTTGGCACATTTTGAGAAAATTGTAGAAAAGTTGCAAAAAAGTAATGCATTATCAGCTCCCACAGTCTTTTCAGAATTACCCATTGTTAGCATTTTTCCACAATTGCATTATCACTCTCTTCGTAAACAGCAATTATTACTGAACACTTTGCCTGTAGTATTTTCTCATTTATCTCCTAAAAACAAGGTCATTCATTCATTTGCATATTAACAGTAATATTTCAAACCCAGAAATACCAGTTGACACTAGTACAATACTATTATCTTATACACATTTCATATTTCATTTTGCCAGTTATACCAATAATGTCCTTTGAGCATTGCTACTCAAAATACTGATTTATAAATGAGGAATATGTCTTAGAATGCAAATCGGGTACTGATTCCTTCACCAAGAATATCTTGCAGTGAAAAAAAAAAAAGACAACTGAAGTAAGCAATGTGCTCAGTAACGTAGTTGTTTACGTTCTGTTGCTTGTTCCTTATGTTGTCATGGACAGACTACAGTTGGAGAACTAGCAGTCAGTCCCTGGACCATATTTTCAGTAGTACTTTGTAGTAATTTTTTTTTTTTTTTACATTGGATTTAGTTTTTCATGTCTCTTTAAACTCATTTACTCTGAAACTATTTCTCAGTCTTTTTTTGTTTCTCAGGATACTGACCCTTGAAGATAATAGGCCAGGCTTTTTTAGGATTTTTCTAAATTGGGTTTAACTAATGTTTATTCATGGTTAAATTTAGGTTAAGTGGAAAGGATAGTACATACTATTACCTAAATGATCTTGTGTCCTCAGTGTGTCATATCACCCTGAGGCATGTGTCAGGAGGCACATGATATCCATTTATCCCATTATTGCTGAACTTTGATGACTCAACGTGGCCCCTGCTAGGTTTTGTCTATCAAGTTACCATTTTTCCCTTTGTAATAGGTAAGTTATCTGTGGAGAGATACTTTGAGACTGGATAATAGTCCTATTCCCTAGCCAGCTTTCACTCAGTAGTTTTAGTATCTATTGATTTTTGCCTGATTAATTTATGATAATGATGGTTGCAAAATGGTGGTATACTAACCAGTGTTCTAGAACTTATACTTGACTTAAACTTGTATTTGGTAGTCTGTAAAGAAATGTTCCCTTTTCTCCCCATTTACACATTTATTTATGTGGTACAATAAATATCAAAATGAAATTATACATGTGTACTTATTCAGTGGTTTATAATTTATTACTGTTATTCTTCATTTTGGTGCTCAAATTTCTCAGTTTTGACAGATGAGGGCCCCTTCAAACAGGCTGTTGTGTTTGTGTGAGGGATTCCTATCATTTTCCTTTCTGGAAGAAGGTATTCCAGACTTGTACTTCTCCTACCTCAAGCCTGAAATTAAAATTAGCTATTTCTCCAAGTAGTTCTGGTTCTTTTTAGTAGGAAATGATACTCGGAAATCGAGAAACTTGTTTTGTGTTCTTTCTTTGCTGCTGATGAGGTAGGAATTAGTGTCATTGCCCTTTCTGCAGAAGGACCTAGGAAATACTGAGGTGTAGGGGGTTGGAGTTAGGGAGAGAGAGAAGGAAATATGTGAAACTGTGTGTGTGTGTGGTTTTTTTTAAATCATTTGTTTATAATGATACTGATAATTCTAATCTATATTTATTTGTTTGTAATGATACTGATAATTCTAATAAGTCACTACAGGGCTTTTCTTTGCCTCTCATTCTGTGTTGTCTTCTGACAGTGAGAACCCTGACTTCTACCAGTGTCAGTGTATTAACTAATCTGCTCAGTCATCAAGTATGCATAAAATAGTTTTAGAATAGCTACACCCATACTACTTGACCATTAAGCCCACTAAGTAGAGTTTAAGATTTGTTTATACGTTTTATTTTTGTCTTTAGATTGAGGGTATACAGTCAGTGCACTTGGATTATTAATTAATTAATTTAAATGTTTTGTTATTCATTTGAAATACCATTAATTAGTTTTTATTCCTTTTAGGGTTTTTTCCTTGTTCTTTTCTTTTAAATTTTACTTTCAAATTTTTAAAATATGAATAAGATTCCAAAAATCAAAACTTTACAAAGAATATACTCAAGAAAAGTATCACTCCCTCACTCTCTTTCCTATCCCTTCTCCTTTCAAACCTTAGAACTAATCAGTTTGTTTAGTTTATTCTCATACTTTCGTGTATTTTTTTCTTGTTTCTTACACAAAAGATAGCATATTACATGTGTGTATATTCATTTGTTCTTTATTTACTTAGCATTTATGTATGTATCTCCTGGAAATCATATCAGTTCTAGAAATTTTTACTATTTTTTGCAGCTCCATAGTTCTACATTGTGTGAACGTTCCTTATTTTATTCATTCATTCCCCATGTATGGGCATTTTGGTTATCAGTTTCTTAACCTCAACATTTATTGACATTTGGAGCCAGATAATTCGTTGTTGTGAGGCGCTGTCCTGTACGTTTAGGATGATTAGTTAAGTATCTCTTACATCACCCCAGCAGATGCCAGTAACATTTCCCTAGTCGAGACAATCAGAAATATCTCCAGACATTGCCATATATCCTCTTGTAGCAAAACTACCCCCCGCCAAACTTTGAGAACCCACTGATGTAGATGCTAGAAACTCTGGCAGTAGATAAAATCTCCTAGGAAGCATTCATAGACAAGAAAGAACTGAAGACAGAATCGTAGGCAGCTTCAGCAATTGAAGGTGAACAAAGGAAGAAGAGTCTGTTAACGAGATTCAGAAGGACAGACTGAAAGGTGAAAGGAAAATTAGAAGTAACGTTGCAGAATCCATGAGGTGAGGGTGGGGCCAAATATTCAAGGATATATTTGTCAACAATGTACAGGACAACAAAGGAAAACTTAGATAAGCTATGAAAAGTTTTTATTCCATTCAGCAGTTTAGAAGGCATTATTGTCCTTAGTGAGAACAGTTTCACTAAGTAGTTGTGCGAAAGAAATAAAAACAGTAAGTTTGACAACTCCATAAGAAAGCCGAGATCGCGCCACTGCACTCCAGCCTGGGGCACAGAGCAAGACTCCGTCTCAAAAAAAAAAAAAAAAAAGAAAGGAGGTAGAAAATCAGTCTAATAAAATCTGAAATAGAGGAGAAATGGCTTTTTCTTTTTTTTTTTTTTTTTTCCTGCTGTGTCCATAGTGCCTGAAAACCCTGGCACATGGAATTAATTTGAATTAATTAATGCAGTTTTGAGCAGGTTGCCGGCTGGGAAGGAACAGCTTATGAAGAGAGAGAAGATTCAGGAGCAAGATAGTAGATAGTTAAAGCAGAATCTTGTAGATGTAGAAAGGACTAGAATGCCTTAGTAGTGAGAGGGGACTTTGTCTTTAACAGGAAGGTACTTCTTTATCTTAGACTGGAAAAAAGAGCAAGTGGTCAACTCTGTTGTTTTTACAGGTTTTTTTCTTTTAAAGTTCAAGCATATAAGAACATGAAGTAGTATATAATGAACACCTGTGTACCTTCCACCTGGGTTTAACAGTTGTTTTCCATATTTGTTTATTGTGTCATCTGTTACTATTTTTAGCTGAAGTGTTTTAAATTACGAACATCCCAGCATTTCTCCCTTATTACTGGTTATGTATCTGCCATCTATCAGTGGACAATTCTTTAGTATCATTTAATTTGCACCTTATGTTCAGATTTCATGTATTTTATAGCTGATTTTTTTTTAAAACCAAGACCTAAATTACATTTGGCTATTAGAGATCAACTCTTTCCTCAGAAAAAATAGGTTTTTCTTTTTCTTTCCTTTTTTTTTTTTTTTTTTTTTTTAAAGACAGAGTTTTGCTCTGTTGCCCAGGCTGTAGTGCAGTGGTATGATCTCGGCTCACTGCAACCTCTGCTTCCTGGGTTCAAGCGATTCTCATGTCTCAGCCTCTCTAGTAGCTGGGATTACAAGCACCGCCACCCCGCCCAGCTAATTTTTTTAATTTTTAGTGGGTGGAGTTTCGCCATATCGGCCAGGCAAGTCTTGAATTCCGGACCTCAGGTAATCCACCCGCATCGGCCGCCCAAAGTGCTGGGATTACAGGTGTGAGCCACCGCACCCGACTGGTTTTTCTTTTTCTTCATGACATTATTTTCTATCACTTGTATTTCCTGTAGTCTGGAAGATAAATCCAAGCCATGATGATACTCATGGTCAACATCAATATTTAATACAACATGAGGCACGTGAATTTGTTAGATCAGTGAGTCTGATCACTGGGTAAGCCAGAAGAGTAAATATCTTTGGTAAGCCAGAAGAGTAAATATCTTTGAAAGTGGTTATCCAGGGCAGGAATTATAAAGGAATTTCAACCTGAATGCTTTCATTTTCTCAGTCAGCTAAGAGGCAAAGTCAAATAGGGAGCAGGGAATATAGAGAGGCATAATGAAAATTCAAAGTTGAGTACATCAGGAATGAGAAGTCTAGGTATAATAATGCAAAGGAAATACATGTGATTGTCTTCAAATTTTGAAGGACAGGCATAGTGATGAAGAGGTGTATTTGCCTCGTTACTTTAGAGCAGTTTCTCAGAGCTGATCTCAGGAAGTCAACCTAGAAGCTTTTGAAATACATACTCTGGCTAGGCGCAGTGGCTCACACCTGTTAGTCCAGCACTTTGGAAGGCCAAGGCGGGCGGATCACTTGATCCTAGGAGTTCGAGACAAGCCTGGGAAACATGGAGAAACCCTGTCTGTACAAAAAACACAAAAAAATTAGCCAGGTGTGGTGGCAAGCACCCGTGGTCCTAGCGACTCAGGAGACTGAGGTGGGAGGATTGCTAGAGCCTGGGAGGCAAATGTTGCCATGAGCCAAGATGGCACCACTGCACAACAGCCTGGGTGACAGAGAGTGGAACCTTGTCTCAAAAAAAAAAAAAAGCCACACATATTCCTGATCTTTGGGAATTTGCTTTTAGATGTTCTTAAGCATCACATATTGTGCTGTAAAGGACACAACAGAAATAATATAAGTACATATAGAGATATTGCATATTCGGATATGTGTCTAAGAGAGCTATTCAGAAATAGAATTAGCAGCATAGCAAAGTCTGAGTTTGCTGATGTTAAGAATATACCTGAGTATAGACCCATCTTGCTTTCATTCTCTGGTCTCTAGCACTTATATTCATTTGTTACTATTCTAGTTCTGATCTCTAGAATGCCTACCATGTTTGAAAACCAAAATTTCAAAATGAGATTTTTTTGTCTAGGAAATAAATGAGTAAAATTTGACTCAAAATATCTTTTATAAAGAATAAACATATAAAGTTAAATCGAACAGGAATAAAGTTAGTTGTTGTAGAGTAAATCCTCATATGAAATAAATGTTCTCTGTTTGCTCAGGAAATGTTTTGTTTCTGGCAGAGATTCCTTTATTGAATGGGACCATTCTGATTTTAGCAGTTAGATCCTGATCACACCTAGGTAGGCCTGAAAATTACTTTATCTTTGTATCTGTTCAATCTTCATAATTTCTTAGGAGCAGCATAACTTCGTCTGATATGGAGAGTATTGGTGAAAGAAGATGAGTAAAGAGGAAGTGGGCATGCAATAAATGTGTGCGAATCCTAACAAAATAAATGCTAGAAGTTCCTTTTGTTCTTTTCCATCCCAGCTCAGGGTTGAGATTTTTTTCAGTGTATACTGACGTTGGTAATACAGGTTTTTCACATAACTACACTGAAATGGAAAAAAAAGTTCCCTTTCTGACAAGTATAGATTATATTTACTATTGAAAAGAACTGCAGATGTGTTGTACTGTGTATAAACATAGACAGTATAATGAAATAACATTAGTGATACATTAAAAATGTTTTTTCCTCCTCTAAAAATATTTTTAGTTCTGAGCCATCCGAAGATGAAGAGTCCCAAGGCCTTCCCACCATGGCACATAGAAATGATGATATTTCAGAATTGGAAGACCTTTCGGAATTGGAAGATCTTAAAGATGCTAAACTTCAGACTTTGAAGGAACTTTTTCCACAAAGAAGTGACAGTGATTTACTTAAGGTTATATTCTTTTATAGTAATTGGTTATTGTAACTGTAATGATGATAAACTCTCTCCTGCATCCAGTGCCATAGTTAGTAGTGGATAGTCATTTTTCTAAAGATATCTTATGTTTGAAGATACTATTAAATTTAAAGGAAGTAAATGCCAGAAATTTATTGAAAGTCTTAACTTTTTGATAGATGAGGTTATTCATTTGTAAATAATGCGGTAACTATAGCCTTAGTTGCAAACATAGGTTGTGAGTTTTTTTGTTTGAGTGTTTCTAAAATGCATAACCTCCCCATTTCCATTGGAAATACTCAGAAATGTCAGGAGCCACTCCATAAAACTGTGACAAGCGTTTGTAGTGACATTTAGTGCCCTGAAGCCAGCAATGCTAAACACCCTACAGTACAAAGGACAGTCCTGCGCAACTAAGGATATTCCTGCCAGTGGCACTCTTGCTGAGAAATACTGATTTAACTACAGAAACAAAGTAAAGGAGTATGGTTGAACTGTAAAGTGATGTTAAGGTATCTCTAATTATAAGAGTAAAAAAAAATTTGACCAGTTAAGTTTTAGGTAGAGAATAAATTTCTGAAGATTAATAAACAGTCTATTCCTAGCTCTGTCACTTACTAGTTGAATTATCTTAGGGGAATCATTTAATTGCAGGTTCTTTGTATTTTCATCTTTATATCTGTCATCGCTACTACCACTACCAGTTCTCCTCCCCACAATATGAGACTTAGGAGTTACCATATCTGTATGGACTAGGCACGTAACTTTTAAGTGGTAACTATAGAGTACATACTCTTTTAGAAAGAGGTAATTGCTGTCTGGCTCCAGTAGGACATGGCCGTGTGAACTATTAGTGATAGCCCATTTTTACTGGATGCTCAGATTTTTCAAATAAAGCCATAAGGCTGGATATTTGTTGAGGGTTGGTCACCACTTTAACAGCTATATTCCTATGCCTAAAATCACCCATTTAAAATGTACAATTTAGTGGTTTTTACTATATTTATGAAATAATGCAACTGTCACCATAGTGACAGTACATTTCAATGACACCCAAAAGAAACCTTGTATCCATTAGCAGTCACTCTCCAGTTTCGTCACTCTCCAGTTTTCGTCCCTCTCCCAGCTCCAGGCAACCACCAATCTATTTTTTTTTTTCCTATTATTGGTATTTCATATAAATGGGACCAAATATCTGGTATTTTGTGACTGGCTGCTTTCACCTAGTGGAAGAGATTCATCGCTGTTGCAGCATGTACTTTGTTCCTTTTAATGCTAACTAATTTAAAAAAAGATAAAAATAAACATGCAGTTCAAGCCAAACAAAACATATCTATGAACCATAGGTGGTCCTGTGCCTGCCAGTTTGAACTCTTAAGTGTAGATTACATTATTTTTATTCTATGTTACTTTTGACATGAATCCACTGGATTTTTCCTCCAAACCATTTTGATAACCGTCTTACTATTAGCTAAATGAAACTTTAGTGATATCTTGAGTCTGCATTTTCTCTGACAGCAGTGTTACTTGTCTGCTAATGTGATTCTTTTTTTTTTTTTTTTAATGGAAACAAATGTAGACCCAAGGGCTAACATATTTTAAAGCAGTAATAAAGAAAGAGCTTCCAATAGAATAAACATGGAGTATTAAAATATTTAACATAAAGGGCCAAATCTCAGTTTAAAAATACTTTCACTTGATTGCCAATTTTTAATGTAGTTCAAAGAGTTGTTTTTTCTTGTAAAAATATCTTTCTCTAATTTTGTAATTTTATTGGAAAAATAAGATTGATATGCATAATTTCCCTGAATGTTTCATTAATCAGTATCTGAAATTGTGAAATTTAGCATATCGCACACTCCAAAGCAGAGCACTCTCTTGAGGTAATCTGTATTTCAAGTGATCCCCTTCAGTTCTAGAGATTTAAAGGTAATGTTTATAAGTTACTCAACAAAAGGTTTTAAATCCATATAAAAGAATTCAAGAGGTTGTGAAATAGTTCTAGGCTTGCCAAGAATATGCTTTGGCTATTTTGAAAATGAAGAGGGGCCAATAGGATATATCTGAGCATCCAAGATTAGGAAAAATTAATGTGGAAGAGCACTTTGATTTGAGGCTGCTTGATTTAATACAAAAAGTACCTTGTTTAAAAGTAAGATCTTTTTAAAACAAGTAACTCATTTGAAATATGGGAAACTATAACAGGAGAAAAATAGGGGATTTTAGTTTTTTCTGAAATCTAAAATTACTGAACACTGTATTAGAATGATGTCGTGCAAGTAATATATGCGTATGTTCTTCAAAAATTCAAACAATTTGGAAATAGAGTAAAATTTAAGAGCCCTTATCCCATTTATCTTGAGCAGTATTAGATTTTTTTAAAAGAGTAGAATTGTCCTTTTTCCCCTAGAAATTAAAAAATTTTTAAAAATATAAATAGATGTCTGTCAGTCTCCTCTTTCCCCTTTCTGTCTCCATCTGACACTCACACATACACAAATGTGAGCATGCACACACACACACAGAGTGCCTACATGTTAAGTAGGAAATTTTGTGTAAAACTTTGTAATTAAAATAGAAAAAACCTGGAATATACTGTATATATGTGATTATATTTTAATTTTTCCTTTATAGTAAGGATGAGTCAACCTGATACGTTGTAAAATACACTTAAAGTTCAGACCTTTTACATAAAACAGATTTTCCGAAAATTTATCATAGGACTTAATGAACTTAAACTGTGACACACATACTTTCCTAACATGTTTATATTTAATATATTTGTTTTTGAATATTTCAGTAACAATTCTTAAAGTGCTGATTTAAAACATTAATCTTTTCTCGTTCTGTTAGTTGATTGAATCAACAAGCACTATGGATGGGGCAATTGCTGCTGCCTTGCTGATGTTTGGTGATGCAGGTATGCCTGACTTAATTTTAAGCCTTGTCGATTTATTGTTACATCATAATAATAGTACCTTCTCATTAATATTGCTCCACAGTTTATCAAACACTTTTATGAATTCTTATAGGAACCTGTGAGGTATTAATAGTTTCAAATTTTTTCCCTAGAAAGGAAAGAAGTTTCTCATTGATAATTTTACTGCTTTTCTACCAAATGTCATAACAGTGAAGTTTTGGCAGGATATATTTTCTTTCTTTTTAAAGTATAATTTCTAGTTGCATTGTGGTTTTATTATAGGTTTACAAATCTTAGTAGGAACATAATGTCTTAGGGAAAGTCATAGCTGGTAATCAGCATTTCTTCATTTAGTAAATATTTTTTCATGTTTCAGGGCTTGGGATACAAAAATAAATGTATTTGAATGAGCTTGCAATATAGAAGCGTGTCCAATTTTTTAATAAATTTTTTTTTAACTTGCACCTACCAAAAAAAAAAAGTAAAAATCACCTGACCCTACTAAAAAAGTATTTAAAGTAAATAGTTAAAGCAAACCCACACTTCATTAACCACCCTTAAATTATAACCACCTTTTATGTCATTCTCAACTTTTTTCCTGCTTCTATACACTGGCATATAACACACATACATTAGGTTACAAAATGTAAATATATTGGTTTGCATCTTTTAAAAAATCATTTAATAATTTGTCATGGATAGCTTCACATTCCTCTGTGACTACCCACAGGATTAGTTTATTAACTGTTTCCCTATTAATTACCACTTAACGTTTTCATTATTGTAGTACTAAAGTAAACGTCCTTATACATAAATAGAACAAAGATTTATGTTATTTATGTAGGCTAAATTTCAAATTAGGATGCTAAAGCAAAGTGTATACACATTTTAAATTTTAATATGTATTTCCATGTCCTTTTGTTAAAGGTTATGCCAGTTTATGCTTTTATCGACAGTGTGTTTGTGAATGCTCATTTTTTCTAAGTGGATTCTTTCTACTTTTAATTTTTTTTAAGTTTAAAATATGTACAAAAATAGAAAACAGTATGTGTTCCCATGGACCCATCCATTCTTCAATAATTATCTACCTAATTTTTCTTCCACTAAGTGGATTGTATTTGAGTAGACGTCTACATAAGATTTTATTTTGTCCATATGAAATATTTTAAATCTTTAATTTCCTCCAGTTTGAGCAAGGAGACAGTATTTTGTGGGTGCTACCTACGCAAAGTATCAAGATTCTTTTTTGTCTTCTATTTATTATTAATAGCTGTGTGACCATCAGCAGTGTTGCTGACTCTTCTGTCTTTGTTTCCTTAGCAGTAAAATAGTATATAATGCCAAACTCAGAGGTTGTTGTGAAGAACTAACAATGTATACTTCTTACTAGGGTGCCTGGTACATAGTGAGTACATACCAAGTGTTAGCAGCTATTTGTTTAAGGGTCATCTGATGATTAAAGAAAAGTTACAGGAGAATGTTACATTACTGCATCCCTAGCACTTATTTTAAAAGCGTCTGAGCTAGGATTATGCCACTGCACTCCAGCCTGGGTGACAGAGCAAGACCTTGTCTCAAAAAAAAAAAAAAAAAAAAAAAAAAACACCTGAAAAATTATAGGCTCAGTGAACATTTGTTGAGCTGCAAAATGCTTGGGAAGTTTTGCAGCTTCCCAATACGTTCTTGCTCTCTCATTATCTCATTAGTCCATAAACATTTCATTAAAACCAGGTTGTGGAATTACTTTATTCCACAGTAGCATCTAATCTTTTTTCTCTTGAGCAATTCATCTTATTCAACTTGTTCATTAGTTTCACAAATATTTATTATGCTTCTTTACTAGGTAGCACAGGCTGTGGCTTAGGTACTGAGGCTACATGAGGAATCAAAGTGGATACAACCTCTGCCCTCATAGAGTTTACAATCCTCATTAAATTTATTTAGCTTCAGCTGAGTTATTTCTTATTCTTCCATTGTACTTCAGATTATTTCATTTAAAAAAAAATGTTAACTGGCAAATTACAAGGAAACAAAAATTTAGGATTTTCTTGTTTTTTAATTAAACTTCCATGCTGCATCATGGAACAGACAGAACAATCTCATCAGACATCTTCATTTTTAGTGTAGTGTACTTTGAGGTAGTATATAGAATGACAGCTTTGTCTAACCTGAAGATAAGGTTAATCTTCAATATACTATGTCTTTAAGACAGGAAACTATACTTGCCATTTTAGAACAGTTTTCAACAAAAGACCTTTTCAAATACCTGTAAGTGATCTTTAACAGATCTGCAAATTGTGACAGTTCACATTTTTTTTTTTTTTTTTTTTTTTACCACAAATTGCAGTCTTATAGACAGCTGTCAGCCTGCATATTAAACACTAGGGATGTTTTTGTGCTGTTTCTTTTGAAGTTTTGTTTTTGAATATGAAATTACAGAAACAAAAAAATGTGTATCCAAAGTTTTTACTCTACTTCACAAAGTAAGAGTACGAATTTATTGATGTTGTCAGGAGTCTCTCTAGCTGTTCTGTTGTGTTTTTTTTTTATTTTTTATTTTGAGACAGGACCTCACTCTGTCACCCAGACTGGAGTGCAGTGGTGCAGTCTCAGCTCACTACAACTTCTGCCTTCCAGGCTGAAGTGATCCTCACACCTCAGCCTTCCAAGTAGCTGGGACTACAGGCATGCACCACCACGCCCAGCTAATTTTTGTTGTTTTAGTAGAGGTGGGGTTTCACCATATTGCCGAGGCTGATCTTGAACTTCTGAGCCCCAGCGATCCACCCACCTCAGCCTCCCAAAGTGCTGGGATTACAAGCATGAGCTCTGCACCTGGCTTCTGTTCTGTTCTTTTTAGGAAAGAATTCAACATGTCTAGGTGATGTGGCAAAATTATCTGATTTGAAGCTTTTTTTTCAGACTTAAAATATTACATTTAGAATATTGTGGTTAGTATTTGTACTGACAAGAATACTGTGCTTTAAAATGTTAATAACATTCCATTTTATTTTGTAATAGCCATGTTAATGAAATTTTTAAGCTGACATGTATGTATTTATTTCAACTTCATAGTTAGGGCTCTGATATAATTAATGCTGAAATCTTAAAACTTTGTAGTCTTTAGCAGGTGCTTTCATAGTAGCACAGCAATATGTCTGACAAATTTGTTCTCTGAAAGCAAAAGTATTTAAGAAATAGGTAAAAGTATACAAAATGTATACGAGCATATATAAGTAGCATATGTAGCTCAAGTTTGTTGTCTTCCAGTCATGACAATATGCAAATTTCCTGTTACTGCTGTACCCTATGTTATATTCTCTTGTTTTTACATTAAAAGCATTTGTTGCTTAAGCTCTCTGTATCTCCATCCTCATTTGTGAAATAAAAATGTTACCTACTTTGTAGGTTTGTTTGTGAAAAGTAAATGAAACAATAGTTTATAAAAGACCTTGCGCAAAGCCAGGTACATAGTAGACACAGAAATTACTGGTTTCTGTGATGGTATTCAGATAACTTACACTTGGTGGGGGTCAGTTTTATTTCACTGCTCAACACTCAGCCACTGGGAAGAAACCCTCCCTCCTAATGTTGCTCTGTAGAATTATTCACTAATTTAGAAATGTGTATTTTTAGATTAAATAATGTGATGGTTTATGCATATAGTATTACAGTGATTTCTACTTCTGAAAGACTGCAAAGAATGTTGACTTTTTTTTTTTTCAATTCGGTCATATGTGGAACAACATACACTGGGCCTGACATCAAGAGAACTGTCTAGTAATTCATTATAATACATTTTTGCCTTTGTTTTACATTAAATTGATTTTTTTGCTGTTTCTGTGCAAAGTTTGAGTGTGCTGCTCTGCTTTAAAAGGTGGTGGGCCCAGGAAAAGAAAATTATCTTCTTCTTCAGAGCCATATGAGGAAGATGAATTTAATGATGATCAATCTATAAAAAAGACAAGACTGGATCATGTAAGTTTACATTTGAATTACAGTATCAAAATTGGCTGCTTAACTTTAGAATATATTGAGTTTGTGGATATTATTAGACCTGAAAATCCACCTAAATGAATTCCTTTCTTTCACAACTAAGGGAATTTATGTCTACATTTAATTTGTGACTGTTTTTGCTTTTTAATTTATCCAGTATGAAGCCTGTTTAAGCACAGACTATTTTGTGTCTGTGGCTATCAGACCTGAAAATTTGTCTAAATGAATCATTCTTTTCTTTCACAACTAAGCCAGATAATTTATGCTTCTATATAATTGGTAACTGTTTTTGCTTTCTTTTAAATTTATGCAGTATTAATTGCTTATCCCTGCCCTCTTCATTACATTGGGTTCTCTGAACTGTGTGTGTGTTAATCTCCAAATTTCCCCTTTTTATAAGGACAACAGTCAGATTAGGTCCCGCTCTAATGACCTCATTTTAACTTGAATATCTCACTAATGACCCTGTCTCCAATAAGGTCACATTCTGAGGTACTGGGCAGCAGGACTTCAACATATGAATTTGGAGGGGACACAATTAACCCATAATAGTGGTGTTTCCAGAAGCAGGTAGATAGGGAAGGCAAATTCATACTTAGAGTAGGTTATCTGTTACTGTGTCTTTCATGATGAATTATGAAGGTCTAATCATCCTGCCACCAGACAGTTGACTGAATCTCCCAAGGAATGGTGCTATAATGGGGACTCATTGTTGGCCTCTGTTCCTTGCAGGTTGAGCACTGACCGTAGCAGTAGCCAGATTAATCTTGGTGTAGAAAGTCTTACCTTGTTGACTTGCATGCACAGACTCAAACCCAGTTGCCATGGCCATTTGTAAATGGGCCTATTGAGCAGGCATTCAAGTGGCTGTGGACTTAACTGGTGTTCACAAAATGGGTGATCTTGTATACCTGATCTTTAAAAATTTTCTCTGCCACATGTGCATCCTTGGCTGAACATTCACATGAACACCGTTATCCTTGTATTCTATTCTCAGGATACCTTCTTTTTTTGTTTTGTTTTTGAGACAGAGTCTCACTCTGGCCCAGGCTGGAGTACAGTGGTATGATCTTGGCTCACTGCAACCTCTACCTCCTGGGTTCAAGCAATTCTCGTGCCTCAGCCTCCCGAGTAGCTGGGATTACAGGCATGCAGCACCATGCCCAGCTATTTTTTTTTTTTTTTTTTTTAAATTTTTTTGTAGAGATGGGTTTACACCATGTCAGCCAGGCTGGTCTTGAACTCCTGACTTCAAGTGATCCACCCACCTGGGCCTCCCAAAGCACTGAGATTACAGGCATGATCCACCACGCCTGGCTGTATTCTCAGAATAACTTATATTCTATTCTGAGATGTTCAACAATGTGCCTCTTCCCCAGACTTCCTGGTTACCAGTTTTTCAGTCTTGTTCTTCTCGTTAGCCTCTGTCCATGATATATTGCTGATCTCTACCCCTGGCTGTCTCTTGGTACACAAAATGGGCAACAAGATGTACTGCCCAAAGTTGTACACAGGGCTACTCTCTGAGTTGGGTTTATATTATAGCAGTTGTTCATTTGGCTGGTTCTAAAATTATGCAAATCTTTTGTAAAGTCAAGCCAGTTCAGGCTGGTTGCAGTGGCTTATGCCTATAATCCCAGCACCTTGGGAGGCCAAGGCAGAAGGATTGTTTGAGCCCAAGAGTTCAAGACCAGCCTGAGCAATATAGTGGGACTCCCGTCTCTGCAAAAAAAAAAAAAAAAAAAAAAAAAAAGAAGAAGAAAAAATTTTAATTAGCTGGGCATGCTTACAGGCAGCTGTAATCTCAGCTACTCGGAGGCTGAGGAGGAAGGATTACTTGAGCCCAGAAGGTTGAGGCTTCGGTGAGCCATAATTATGCCACTGCACTCCACCGTGGGTGACACGGTGAGACCTGTCTCATAACAAACACATGAAGTTTAAAGATTTCTCCCCTCTTTATCAGGTCATAAAGAATTTTCTCTTTTTTTTCCTGAGACATAGTCCCACCCTGTCACCCAGGCATGATCTTGGCTCACTGAAACCTCTGCCTCCTGGGTTCAAGTGATTCTCCTGCCTCAGCCTCCCACGTAGCTGGGATTACAGGCGTCCACCACGCGTAGTTAATTTTTGTGTTTTTAGTAGAGACAGGGTTTCACCATATTAGCCAGGCTGATCTCAAACTCCTGACCTCAAGTGATCCACATGCCTTGGCCTCCCAAAGTACTGGGATTACAGGCGGGAGCCACTGTGCCCAACCTATCGGGTCATAAAGAATTTTTTATAATGCCTCAGGTATTGGTTGAAGAAGGGGCAGCAGTGATGCAGAAGCAGGTACCGTGAGAGTCTGAGACACCTGCACATGCAATTTATTTATGTCTCTTGAACCTACTCAAGTCCAGTCTCAAGTATACTATTCTACTTGATGGGTTGCTGCTGCCAATGCTAAGGTTTAGGCTAGGTAAATCAGATACCCAGATCACATAACAACTCAAGTCTCGTGGTCATATGATGTTCTGTGGTCAACTGTTCTGCTTTTATCAGGATTTATTATCAAGTCAATAGCTATTTCACAAGAATAGATCAGTCATTTTTGTTTTTAAAATGTGAATTTATTCCAGTGTTAATACATTAGAGAACGATTTGAGTATAATCCAAAATTTGCGTGTATTTATGTGCAGTTTTGCCCATGAGAAATAGTAGGTGATCATAGAAAATTGCTTCCAGCTGAACCAAGCTACATAGGAAAGCATAAAACACACACGTTTCCAGTATCCACTGGCTGCCTCTTTTTACCATGTATATTATCCTGTTAGGTGGTGATGTGCTGTTCTTTGACATTTGTGATCTTTTCTATTTGAAAAAAGCAGTCATTCAACATCCCAATCCTATCTCAGCATTCTGGTTCAAAAATGCCACACAGTGCATGCAGAGGGAATGTTTTGAGTATTAAGGAGAAGCTCGAAACAAGAGAACATTTGGAAAGAAATAAGAACATATGATAGATCCCAAGCAAGAGATATAAAGGAATCCACATTATGGACCATCAAAGATAATGCCACAAAAATTAAAGTGTATGTATGGCTGGACCAGGTTCAAGTGCTGGAAAGTCAGTAAGAGCAAGGCCTAAAGAAACAGAAGAAAAGGAAAGATAGTCAAATATTTGGATTCAAGACCAAAGGGTGATAAACTAAGGGACAACCTTTCCCGTATAGATCTTTGTAATTATATACATAGACCTAAAATAGAAGTCGCTGTACCCTGCATAAGTGGTTCCTTTTAGTGCTAGTAGTGGTTGCTTTAATGATTTCAAACAATGCTATAGTTTCCTAAGCCTTTGGCTATCGGACATAACCATTAGTGTAGATATGAAAGCTGCAAAAGAGTTTTTCAGCAATAATACAGAAGTAAATTGAAGAAGGCAGCTGTGCATGGTGTTAAATTCTTGGTTTTGATTAGACAAATAACCTGTTAAGAACGCATGCCTCGAATAACCCAAATATGAAAGACAGAAAACATGCTCTGGGATTTAAGGCTCCTAAAGGTGACATAACTGATATTCGGCACCAGTGCCAAATGGAGATTTGAAGCTGAAGCTGAAGCCAATAATATCACTTACAAACTGTGAACCTTTTAAAAGAAATTGTTAAAGTCATCCTTTGAGGTTCGTGTCAGGTATAGCAAAATGTATGGATGACTGCCCACATTTGCATTTATATTTTTACTTAGTTCTCTGTTAAAGAGGATGAATGCCCCAAAACTTTAAAAAAAAAACACACTTTAAAAATTCTTAGTGTATCAAGCTCTCTCTCTCCAAAAGCAGATTTCAACCTATGTCACATTCTTCCTTTTGCCTCCAAAAACTGCCTCTCTGATAATAGCCCCTTTTTAAAGGTGTGATAGCAGTGTTTATAGCTTACTATTTTAAAGTGAACATTTAAGATATTAATTGATATTATCTAAGGCAGGGATGCAGAAGTGGTTATAGAATGTTGGAAGAGGTTTAACATTGCAATGTCATTGTTGAAGCCTGGAGTAATATACCAAGAGTGTTTGTGTTATGTGTGGCAGAAAATTGCCTTTGATTTGATTCTTTATTTTGAATAATTTGATCCTTCAGAGAAATTTTAAAAGTTTAAAACAAGAGCTATATTGATCTAAGAAAGCAGTTTGGACTTGGAGCAGTCAAAAATGAGGATGTTGAAAAGTTTCTGGGGTCCTATCCTGATGATCTAACCGCAGAAAACTTTCAGCAACTTGCCGCTGATGGCTGTATGAATGCAGAAGATGATGATGACAGTGATGAGGAAAGTCAGAAGTCTGTACGCCATGACATAATACAAGTGATCAGTTGTTTTAAATGCTGTGAAAAAAGTCGGACTGCCTTGAAGATAGTGGCTTTACTGCTGAAGATATTAGAATAGTCTTGTATGGCATCCGGACGAATTTGGAACCATACAGGCAGCTTTAGTGTAAAAGGAGGAGGCCGGCAACACCACAGAAATTTTATTTATTCTTTATATTTTAAATTAGTACAGCGGACATAACACAAGGACAGTGAGCTACAACTTTCTGTATCTAGTGTTACACATTTCCATTCATTTTCAGATAACCCATCTTCTACCACTTCACAATAACTCATAAGCTGTAAACCTCCCAATGTCTACAAGCAAACTTCAGCTCACATTTATTGTAGTATTTATGTGTTAACTATTTAGTGTGTGTAAAATTGTGGTATCATTTTTATTAGATTTCCTTCTCTTTTTATGTGTCACTGATGAAGTTTTTAACATTGTATCTCTAACAGTTTTTCTCCTAACGGCTATAATTTTTACTTTAACAATTTTACATAGTGTAGTAATTTTTGGAAATGCATGTGTCACAGCAAAAGTGACTGTGGTCAATAGAAGAGGACATGATGATCTTTCTTTAAAACTCTCTGCAACGATTTTCCCCTTGGGGCTTGCCAGAGACTTCGTATGATATCCTTACCTGCGACAGATTCTTGGATAATCATTGCATCTGCTGGTGTCATGAAACCCAAATGGCAGAGTACCTTGTATTGCACTCTGGACCTGGTACAGAGCCCTCTCTTAACCCAGGCCCCATTCATAACTGACAATCTTTTTTTTTTTTTTTTGAGATAGAATCTCCCACTGTTGCCCAGGCTGGAGTGCAATGGCATAATCTTGGCTCACGGCAACCTCTGCCTCCTGGGTTCAAGCAATTCTCCCACCTCAGCCTCCTGAGTAGCTGGGATTACAGGGGCCTGCCACCATGCCTGGCTAATTTTTTATTTTTAGTAGAAACAGTGTTTCACTGTGTTGGCCAGACTGGTCTCAAACTCCTGACTTCATGATCCACCCGCCTCGGCCTCCCAAAGTGCTGGGATTACAGGCGTGAGCCACCATGCCTAGCCATAACTGACAATCTTAAGAGGTATTTTATAAAATCAATCAAGCAGTACACACCCGAATGAAGTATATCTTGCCTCCAGTGTGCAGGGAGCTCCCAATGTCCAAACAGTCTAAAGAGGCAGATAGGTGCAGCCTTTCTTTTCTTAAGAGTGGAGTTTGCAACATGCTCCAGACTACACTCCCATAAAAGTGATGGGCCTCAGAGTGAGGATGGTCATTCCTTCACCCTGATACGTGGCATGTACGTATCTGACCAGTACCGTTGAAAATACCCACTACCTGTTTATCAAGTCCAGTCAACATGATGTCTTCAGTATAGTGGATCAAGTGACACTCTCTGGACTCTGCAAAACCATCAAAGTCCGTGAGTACTGTATTATTTGAGAGAGCCAGGAAAGTTACTGTAACTCTGAAGACTGAAGGTGTATCATTAAACCTGCCAAGATAAAAACAAATTGCTTCCATTTGATCTAATTGGGAAAGGGGAAAAAGCAAGTGCTTGATTGATAACTGCATAGCCATATTGATTTGCTCCAGCAAAAATACCACATCCTGTAAAGCAGCTGCAGGTGGAGTTTGATTGTTTATGATACTCTTAAATAATTCTCCCAAGACTCATCTACTTTTTGTATAGGTCAAGGAGGCATCTTACATTGGGATGAGATGGTAATGTCAATATCTGCAGTTCCTTTCGGGCTGTAGTACTTGTTTATTATTGTTGTTTTGATTGAGAGGGACAATTCTAGGGACTTGGATTTGGTGTTTCCTGTAATAGTGGCCCATACCTCATGGGTCAGGGAACTAATATAATAGGGGATTTCTGCCAGTGCCAAATATGTCTGTTCCAACTATGATTCTGAAGATGGAAAAATAAGCACTGAGTTGAATCATATCCCTTGGGCCCGCTGAGACAGATAGGGGCCCAAACTTTATCAACTAGCTTTTGTAAAGCGTCTGTGTAACCTCCTGTACCACATGAGTATATTCAGTCACCAGGAATTAGAGCTGGCAGAAGTATGGGATCCAAGAGCAAACAGCACATGATAGGCACACCATCTACTAAATATTGTGCTATCATATATTTGATTCCCAAGAGCTGTTTACTCTTTTCCAAATAATTTTATCGAGGTGAAATTCATGTAGCATTAAATTAACCATTTTAGAGTGAACTATTTAATGCTATTTAGTACATTTACAATGTTGTATACCATCATCCCTGTCTAGTTCCAAACGCTGTCATCACCACATAATAGTATGCTATACCCATTAAGCAGTTTCTCCCCATTCCCTCCTCCCCCTAACCCCTGGCAATCACCAATCTGTCTTCAGTCTCTGGATTTACCTATTTAGAACATTTCACATAGGTGGAATTATATAATATGTAACCTTTTATGTTTAGCCTCTTATTTTTTAATTTCAGAAAAATGTGTTTTGATGTTTTATGTTTTCATACTTTTATGTATGAAATTGGGGTATATATGCAAGTTTGTTACAGAGGTATATTGCATGATGCTGAAGTTTGAAGTGTGAATGAATCTGTCACCCAGATAGTAAGCATAGTACTCAGTAGGTAGTTTTCCTTAACCCTTCCCCCACATCCTCCCTCCGCGTTGTGTTCCCCAGTGTCTGTTGTTCTCATTTTTATGAACATGCGTACCCAATGTTTAGCTCCCATTTATAAGTGAGAAATGTGGTATTTGATTTTCTGATTTCACATTAGCTGGCTTAGGATAATGGTTTCCAGCTACATCCATGTTGCTGTGAAGGACATGATTTTGTTCTTTTTTTATTAGCCTCTTATGTAGCATAATGCTTTCAAATATACTACAATGTTCATTTGTGTTGTAGTATGTATCAGTACTTCATTCTTTTTTTATGACTTAGTAATATTCCATTTTATGTGTTTACCACAATTTATTTGTTTGTCCATTGATGCACATTTGATATATTAACAAATGAACAACTGAAGTTTAGGAAACACTTACGTGTAGTGAAAAAGCAGTGGTCTAGAGTTAGATACTTGCGTCTGTTCCCTCCTCAGCTGGTTGTTATTCATCTGTGAGCTTTAAAATACTGTTCTTGGAATTTCGGTGTGCCTGGGCTATAAAGGTGGCAGTATGAATTTCTGAGGATTTTGAAATGTTTTCTCCAGATGTGTTTCACCAATATGTCTTATTATTCCTCTGCTCAAAATCCTGTTGCTTCTGAAAAAAAGATTAACCTTAGGCTTTATTCCATGTTAGCTCTGGTTTAATTCTTCATCCTTGTAACCTATCTACATTCTCTGCACTGGAGCCCAAGTGGACCAATTACTATTATGAAACACATGCAGTTTTCTTCTTTAGTCCAAATATCCATAGCATTTTACTGGTCTCTGTTTTATGAAATTTTATTTTACTCCATTGTGCAGAGGAGGTATCAGAATTTAGTTATGTCTATCTAAGGTATTGAAAGAGAAAAATAGCAATTCAGTTGTTGGATAATAAAGGAGGTTGAAGAAGAAGACTATATTTTTCTCCATCTTGTGTGTATAGCATGTGGTACAGTTCTAAGCAGAGTAGACAAATGCTTTTTGATTGACTAGAATTTTTCGTATGCATGAACACAAGGAGTCTTTTCTTTTTGCTTAAATGTGGACTTTAACCGTTTTCTTCAAGTGAAGTTAAGTGACAGAGAAGAAGGAAAAGTGAGACTATAGCCACAATTCTCATATTAATCTGTTTGGTTTATACATTATTTAGTTCCACTTAAATTCCTTTTATCATTGTTTCAGTTTTATTTTGTGACTGAGTAGTTAATATTTAAGCCATTCTGTGAATCTAGAGTGAACTAAAAGTAAACTCTTCTCAGAATTTGAAATTTATAGGTGGGTATATAATAGTGAACATAGATGAGATATTTTTGTATCCTTTTAAAATTTACCATTGTCTTGGAGAAGACATCAGTATACTTGAATTATATTGAGTTAATTTGAGGATCATTCTAGCTTTTAGCAGATTTATCTCATTTTAAGCACTGAGAATAAAGTTTGAGTTACTGGATATGCAGAGTCGCAGAGTCTTTCAGTGATCTTAAGTTAGCAGTATTTTTTATCCTTAAAGACATAAATTTGTTAATGTTCACAGAAACAAACATTTTGGATTCTTCTGATTGATTGTGATAATTTTCAGATCAAGTCAAAATACGATTATAATTGCCTTAAGACCATTGTTATTGATTTCTCTTAAATTTTTTTCTTTTTTTTCTCCCCATTAGGGAGAGGAATCAAATGAGTCTGCAGAATCTAGCAGTAATTGGGAAAAGCAGGAAAATATTGTATTGAAATTGCAAAAGGAATTTCCCAATTTTGATAAACAGGTGAGTAGTCGTGTATGAAAATTTAATCAGTGTACACCAAGTGTTTTTATTATAAAATAGTGTTAGAGTTCAACCACATAAAAGCTTAGGGTGAGTTTTGCATTCTTCTAATTAAATGTTCTTCTTTTATCAATGTTATAAAGTATTTTCATGCTGTTTATTTATGTTGTTTACCTTGTTTACTATAGTATCTATACTGTATCCCTAAGTGATTAAAAAATAACCGTAATAAAAATTGTGAACTCATAACATGTAAGTCGTCTAGAAAGTCATCTGTAACCCTGCCCCATCAAGTAACTGCTTAGTTTTTTTCATGTTCTCATTCTTGAAATTTCTTATAAGAATTTAAAAAGTATTCCATTTCAGTGTCTTAATATTTCATAAGCTTTCTTCTACTTATAGTAAGAATATTTTCAGAGTCATTAAAGACTCATGCCACACATGCTGTTGCTAAAAGGCCCTCTGTTTAATCCCATGATCATATATAGAAGCACATATTTATTTAGCATTTAGAGTACATTAACACTTGCATTGACTTATTTGAGTATATATGCTCAGATAGTACATCTACTAAATTCTGATGAGCTGAATGCAAAATCTTGTTGCCATATTGGTTCATTACCTATATTGAAACTACATGTTTTGAGGTTGGCAGTTTGTAAAAGCCTAGCTGCATATTGAAATTTCATTGTAATTGAGCAAACACTTCTTGATCCTCTAGTGTACACAGTACTTCATAGTGAGAGTTAGAAATGCAATAAAAATGTCAAGTTTTCTTTCCTTTGAAGACTATTGTGTATTTGTGGAGTTGAAATTACACAGAAAGCATTTGTAAAGGAACGTAGAAACAAGTGCAAAATAATCAGATATGAATTCTCTGTTTTCAAGTGATTAACTTATTTTTAAAAGAGCGTAGACATTTTCTGCAAGTTGCTAATTTGAGATTTTTAACAAAAAGATAAATGACTTATTTCTAGGAACTAAGAGAAGTACTCAAGGAACATGAATGGATGTACACAGAAGCTTTAGAATCTCTAAAAGTGTTTGCAGAAGACCAAGGTAATTATTCTGTGTCATAGAAAATACATACTTCTCATTATAGTCTATATTTTGGTGTATAAGAAAATGGTATATAAGAAAACCTATTAGCTGTTAATCAGAGGGTGGGATTGCAAAAGATGTTGAAAGTAATGATGTAAAAACATTCTTTAACAACCAGTTTTTAAATGTTTTGACCTGCCTGTTCTTTATGGTAGTGTAAAACAAAACAATAAATATCTTTCTATTTGTTCAGTCTTTTTTGATAGTTAAGACTACTTTTAAACTGCCATGTTTTATTTAGTGTAAAAGAAACTTTTTAACAACTGTCAGGATGGATCTTGTGATTGGTGGTATCATGTCATTACTGTAATATAGATGTCTTAGCCTATACTTGCACAGATATCAAAAGCACTAGCATCAAAAACTTAAGGATATCATAGGCATGAACGCATTTTGGAGCACTCTTAATTCTAGGAACCAAATGATAGAGGAGAGGTGGTAAGGAAGAGTTGAATCATACATGTTTAGTAACATACCTAAGGAAGAATCAAGTAGACTAGCTCTTCATAATTGCAAAGCCAGTTTTAAAAGCCCAGCATGGTAGCTTAAGGTGTTTCGGATTTTTTTTTTTTTTTTAATAAATTGTTTTAAAAGAAAGGCTGTACTGCCAATGCTCTTGATGGCACAGAAAATGATTTTCTGTGGCAAAAAGAAAGCCACCAAATCTAAGTTTGAAAAATGAGTCAAAAGAGCCATGTTATGAATGTGAAAAGATTTGAGGAATACTTTAGCCAATTTATTTTGCTTATTTTTTTATAAATGCACACAAAAAAAGGTATGATAATCTGTAAGTCTAATAGCTGAGTAAGTAAAAATTTCTGAATAAAATATTTTATTATAGATTGGTACATGTATTCTCACTGGTACATAAAATAATGGTGTACCTTCATTCACAGGCATCTTAGAATTCTGTAAACTGATAGTAATAAAGTAGTGGGACTTTTTGGTAATACCATATTTGCTTTTTTTTTTTTTTTTTTTTTTTGGAGACGGAGTCTCGCTCTGTCATCCAGGCTGGAATGTAATGACACAATCTCGGCTCACTGCAACCTCCACCTCCCGGATGCATGTGATTCTCTGGCCTCAGCCTCCTGAGTAGCTGGGATTACAGGCAAGCAACACCATGCCTGGCTAATTTTTATATTTTTAGTAGAGACGGGGTTTCACCATGTTGGTCAGGCTGGTCTCGAACTCCTGACCTTGTGATCTGCCCGCCTCAGCCTCCCAAAGTGCTGGGATTACAGGCGTGAGCCACCATGCCCAGACTATTTGAATAATTTTTTAAGTAACAATGAAACTTAGAATATTGAAGATAGTATTGGAAAATTATGGATAGTTGAAACATACACACTTTTTATTAGTAAGCTTTATAGTAGTGTAAGCATCGTTCTGCTATATTCAGTGTTGGTATAGTTGAGTGGGGCTGCTAAGAATATCTGAGACATGATACATATATGCAGCTGCCATTTATGTTCTCAGGACCTTTGTCAGAAAAGAGAAATTTATATTTAATTCACTTAAAAAACAAGTTATCACCTGCTTTTGAAACTAATTGTTTAACTTCAAATTCTACTTAAGTATTTTTAAAGTGTATCAAATTTAACAATAAATTGTGGTTGAATTCTTCTGTATTCAAAAGGAATAGGTAAATGTTTTAAGTTTTTATTTGAAATCTTTCTTTATATTTATGTATTTCTAATTTAGTTACTGTTTTGTCTTTTGTATGCAGATATGCAGTATGCATCACAAAGTGAGGTTCCAAATGGAAAAGAAGTTTCTTCAAGAAGTCAAAATTACCCTAAAAATGCAACTAAAACAAAACTAAAACAGAAATTTTCAATGAAAGCACAAAATGGCTTTAACAAGAAACGTAAAAAAAATGTATTTAATCCAAAGAGAGTTGTTGAAGACTCTGAATATGATTCAGGTTCTGATGTCGGTAGTTCATTAGATGAGGACTATAGTAGTGGTGAAGAAGTGATGGAGGATGGCTATAAAGGTAAAATTCTTCACTTCCTTCAAGATGCTTCAATTGGTGAACTTACTTTGATTCCTCAGTGTTCTCAGAAGAAGGCTCAGAAGATAACAGAGCTCCGGCCCTTTAATAGTTGGGAGACTCTGGTAAGGCTTTATTCTTTTTTTCCCCTGTATGTGTGTGTGTATTTAATTCACAGTACCGGTTATAGTCAAGTTGTCTTCAGCCCAGGGAAGCATAGATGGGTGGCCTTATCCTGTGTAAAGTCAAACATTACTTTCATGGTAAGCCAATAGTATTTCAAATAGTGTCATATGACCTAATTTTGAATGAATTAAGGGGTGATTTTCCTGAAAAAACCCAAGCTGATTGGCTGGGAATACTGTCACTCATTCTTTTGCATAGAAACTTGGTTCATTTCACTGCAGAAGAAGAAATTAGAGCTTACATTTAGGAAGGAGTTGTTTGCTAGCCTGTTCTGATCTGTTACTGCTGAGACACCATGCAGAAAGCAAGAATGTGGCAGAAATTTTACTACAACTACTTGAAGAGCAATAGCAACGGCCAGGGGAGCTCCATGATTCAAAATGCCAGCCTAAGTGTTTTATGCTTCACCACAAAAGAAGCAATTGTTTATTTTCTTTTTTTCTTCTAAAAGTGACAGCTCAATCTCTAACATGTTTTTCTTGGTTAAACAACGCGGCCATTTTATGGAGTGTAGCAGGCTGCAGCGTTTTTAATTGGAAAGATAGAAAAATTTCTGGAAGCCTAGAATTCAAGCGTTAGGTGAAGGGAAGGCATAAGCACTGGTAAGTACACTTTGCATGATCATTTTCTGGAATTTGACTTTCTATAAACAGGTTTTATCCAGAATACCTGCATTTTGAGTTTTATGAATACCAATAGTCATCAAATCTTATTCATACAGATAAATATAAGAACTCTTAAATTTTGCTTCAACTCTTGTGTGGGCTTTTATGGCAGGAATTATATATAGGCCTGTTGTAAAAGCAATATGGATGATTTTTTACAGCTTTAAAAGATGCAGCAACTCTTGATGCTTTATAAAATTTTTTAGGAAGTTTTATTCCCTAAATTAGGGAGCAAAGTTGCTTTTGTGATTAATTTTATACTTGTAACACATCTAAATGAGCATTAAATCCCTTGATAAGTGTCTCGAAGTGGCAGTAGGGGAGAGTCCCTGAACAATGGTTGTAAATGCATTTTTTAAAATTAAAATATTTGAGAAAGACAGAAACAACATTAATAATATTCCGTAGCTTTAAAAAAAAATAATAAAACCATTCGTTTTGCCTGAAGCCTTTGCTTTTCCAGAGAACATCTGTCAAAGCAGGCCCTTTCAAAACTTGTTTGACTTTGCCTGAGTGATTTATTTGTTAAAGTATTTGCTGAAGGGCTTTCTTGTTCTTCTTTTCTTCCTTTTCTTCTTTCTTTTAATCTTTAATGGTCTCCTATGTTGTTGCAGAATTGGGTTGCTCAGGCTTGTTGGGATTCTAATTTATTTAATAAGATATGCAATTATCTGCACTAGTTTGTTTAGTTGCTGTAACTACTTGCCCTCATATCTTATAGTAAAAGTAAATTATACAATTTTACCAGAGGTATATGTGCCAGATGTTTTTAAAAAATATTCGCAACTTAACATGTAGAAATCTTATTTCCCCTACTAATTAATCAGCAGAGTTTAAATTAGTCTTGACATGAATTTGGAGATTATGCATTACTTGCTTAAACCTCCTAACATCTTGCCCCTTTCTAAAAGTTGAACATAAGGACTATATTGTTGGTTTTAACCATCCGTCCAAATGGGAAATATTTTATGTAACAGTCTAAACATATCTGAAAAGTAAACTTTCTACTTGAATTCAGTGAGTACAGTGTTTGCCATCCTTAGCAAAGTAGGTGAATGAGCTTTTTCAAATTAATAGTGTAAATTAGCAAGTAAATATGTATATGCTTTAAATTTTAATTTGCTTAGAACTTTGAGCTTCTACTTTAAAAATCTTTAGAATTTTAAATATGACTTATTATAGGGTACTTTTTTAGCCCAAACCCTACCCTAGAGCAGATTTAATATCTTAATAAAATTATCAAAACAAAAGTCAATATTATGAATATTTTAGTTAAAAGCTATATAATTTGCTTCTTCCCTGTTAATCAGTGAGGTTTGATAATGTACCTCTAAACAACTTCAAAAGGAAACAAAAGCCAAAAAAATTGTTTTGTGTTGGTAGCTGCCATATTTAGAAATTTCTATGAGAATTCGTTGAGGTTTTAATCATATTGCTCAGTCATATTTTAGTGAAAATTACAAGGTATTAAATATATTAAGAACAACCTGCTAACAACTAGTCTTCTCTTTTCTTGAAATCATTGTTTAATCTTATTTAGTCTTAAGAATTGGAGAATTTCTATTTACAGACTGTGAAATTCATAAATATTTCATTAAAAAATGCATACTTGAGCCCATGAATAAAGTATATATATACAATAGTAATTTTTGTTAAAAGTGAGGTTTCTTTACCATTGGTGATTATTAAATGATTAAATGTAATTAGTATTTCATTGTCTTATAAAAGTAATTTGAATGTGAAAATTATGTTGTGCCTTTTAAAACAACGTTTGAAAAGTTGTAGATCATTGGGTTGTTTTCAAGATAGTAGACATATAAATGTAATATAAGTGTAATAGATATATAAAATGTAAGTATAATATACTTATTAATATCACCTACTTGGTAATCTAATTACAGTAATTTTAAATCTAGACGTTACTACCTTTCTATACTATTATGACTTATTTGTCAGATAATTAATGCCTTTTGAAACTAAAACACTCCAGATATTCTAGTCACCCTCATTTTACATGAGGAAAGTTTGATTTTTTTTAAAAGTATATTACCTAAGAAGATATTTATGCTTGCAGCTTTATACATTTTTTTCTATGAGTCAAAATTTAAATATTGTTTTTAAATTTTTCTTCATGATTTTTTCCATTTTACTTACAATTTTTCTGCATGACAACAGTAATGTAGGTGCCCATTGTGAGAAAACCTCATCATTAAATCAAGTAGGCTTCAGAAATATAGCAAGCCAAAAATGTCATTAGTTTAAAAACTTGTACTGTTATTGTGTTAAAATTGGAATTTTTATTGCCAAATCTCACACAGTTGATGGCATCCGTTCACCATCCACTTACTGGATTTTTGTCTAGCCTTGCACACAGTAGGGTAGGGAATATTATTATGTCTGTGAAAAATCTAACTGTGTTGCATCTTTATATGTTAATCAGATTAGTAATATTTTTATGCTGACCAATGCAACATGCATCAGTAACTCAACCTGAAAACTTTTATATATACATCTAATTTGTTAAGATTTAGATCAGTGTAGATCCAGTCTTCCTTGGCTAATAACCAAGCAGCTCAGGTTTAGTTCATGTCAAACACTATACTCCTCATTGTATTACTCTCATCTACTAGACTGTGGAGTTTCTTTTTTGGTTTTTGTTTTGTTTTGTTTTGAGACAGAGTTTCGCTCTTGTCGCTCAGGCTGGAGTGCAATGGCATGATCTCAGCTCACTGCAACTTCCACCTCCCAAGTTTAAGCGTTTCTGCTGCCTCAGCCTCCCTAGTAGCTGGGATTACAGGTGCCCGCCACCACGCCTGGCTGATTTTTGTATTTGTAGTAGAGATGGAGTTTCACCATGTTGGCCGGGCTGGGCTGGAACTGCTGACCTCAGATGATCCACCTGTTGTGGCCTCTCCAAGTGCTGGGATTACAGGCGTGAGCCACCACACCCGACCCTTTGCTTTGTTTTAACTGGTGATTTCTGTAAAATACTTGGCCTAAATTGGCCACTTAATGCATGGTAATAGGTATTTCTTCTTTCTGGATAAGGTGGCACCAGTGAATTTATTTGTAAGATTACTATATATTCAGGCTTTGTTTTAATTTGTATAAGTTTGATAATTGTATTAAAACTACAAGTGCATTTTGAGTACTTTGTAGGTTGCTGCCAGGTATTTAAAATAATGAATAAGCTTAGGACTCTGTCCTCAGGGCTGTCTTTTGGTAAGTGGGGATTTAATAATTTGAAAATTAAATCTACTTTTAAATGGTTTCTCCCTTCCCATGGAAATTCAAAAATATCTGTGCAGTAAGAGTGACACACTGTGGCAAGAGAGGGATACTTCAGATGCTGACTGTTTTTGAAAGAAAAAAGTCCTTTGAATAGTCACTCGAGGTTTTAAAGAAGAGATCATAATCAGGGCCATATTGATGAGTTTTTTTCATGTAATTATTTAGAAAGTAGCAGTTAGCTTTTTTTATTTTCTTCCTTCTGAAAAGAGATTTATCATTTTTTGAAAACGATTTGTTTTACCTAAAATTGAAAACAGTATTTGTGGAAATGAAAAAGTAAAGTTTACCCCAAATTCTACCAAAGATACCCACCATTTAAGATGTTTTGAGCATCATCTATTTATGTATACATTTGTATACTTCATACCATGTAAGCCGAATCATCTTTTCTGTGCTTTTCAGTAACTTCAGATTTACTATTAGATCCCACATTTATAGGGTACTTTGTATTTCTTAAATCTATTTTGGGGGAAAGTTAAGTAACTTACAGGATTAAGTGATTTTTGTGTTCCGAAAACAGTAACATGGTGGCAGCAGTGTTCTTACACCTTTCCTTAAGAGAGAGGCTCTCTTTCCCCCTCCCCAAATTAATGAAGATATTAACTATTGGATTTCTTTACTTTCTGTTAATGTTTATACTTTTATTATTTTCACATACACTTAGATTAACCAATAATTCTATAGGCTTGTTCTCCCCCCCCCAAAAATCTATATCCACCCTTTTCCCCAGCCTGTTGCCCACGGTGCAGATAACTTCTTTCATGACTTTTTGTCTGATTGTTCTGATCACCTCCATATCTTTATGTAATATAATTATAATGCACTTTTTGTCGTTTTGTCTAAAATGACGTTAAGTTGATAGATAATTTATCTACTCAACTTAACGTTATAGACAATAGGATTTAGCTCTCACTGTCTACCTCACTTCACATACCCATTTTCTGTTCCCCAGTTCTATTAATATATGTTAACATGGTGATTTT